GCTTTTGTCATTGCATAAGCCACAATATCTGCGCATAATATACTACCCACAATTCTCAGTTAACAGATATCATGTGGTGCTTTGACTTTAAACAGCCAAAAAAATTGATCGCGAGAGTTCAAAAGACCTTACGTGATGCACAAATAACCCGCACATAAAAGAGAGAAGCTTACGACGATGTTTCAGTCCGACTTGGACCATTTACAAAGTCACACTGTATTAAGCTTACATGATAGAGACTAAACGAGCTCAGATTTGTGATCGGTGCATCAGAATTAGCTTCAAACAACCAATTTAGCTTCTGAACTGGATAAATGATCAAATTTGTTGGCTTGTGTTATTCTAAAAACAATTGATTGGCATTTCTAGTGTATCTGCATGAACCAGAGTCATTCATCAAAAGGCACAATATGTAATGTAGCAATCTTGAAAAATGTTAAACCTTTAAGGGGTCATCCGGTGTAACACAGCAGAGGAAAACAGAAATTAAAATAAAGGATGATCATGTATGTACAGTAAAGAGCTTGATGTGATTACCAGATGGAGGATCAAGCCTTCACTACTTCTTGCACTGTATGACCTACACAGACTCAGTGATTCACAAGTATTGAAGAAATAATACACAGCAGAGTATGGTGGGAGACAAAAAGAAGACAGTCTGATAAAAAGCCAGGCACCATCAGTATTAAAAAGGGCACTTTTGGGATCCAAATGGCATAAATAAAAAAAAAAAGGCCACTATACCATGGCTAGAACAAATCACAAATAACCCACGCTTAGAAGAGTAAATTGACGATGACATTTTGGCCAGGCCTGAACCACAAGTAATGGTTCTTCTTTCTCTGCAGCCTCTCTCTTTCCTTCATACACTGTGAGAGAGCAGGATATAGAGAGGCTGAAAACACGGACAACATGAATGGTATACAATACTGACAAGAAGAATAATTAGATGCATGTGAAACATCTGGTTATCTTTATTTGTAAACGTTTTGCCCTTCAGTGGCTTTATCATTATGTCCTTGAATTGTATTGATAAAGCCACTGGATGGCAAAACAAATAAAGATACCCAGATGTTGCACGTGTGTCTAATTCTTCATCAAGGACAACATATGTTGAGACAAAAAATGGGTAATCTACTAAGATGTACAACTTAATCAATATATCTTGGCAAATCTCATGCACAATAGAGCAGGACAAAAATGCAAGACGACCAAGGATGAGTCTGCTATCTCCAATGTGCAGTCATAAGAGAAGTCTCTCATATGCATCAACGATGGGGCAAGATACCCACTCGTGAGAAAACCATGGGAGAGTCTGGTATTTGCGCATGCATTTACTATGGAGTCAGGGCAACCAGAACCTCGGGTGAGATTTTATATAAACTTGGTTAACTTTTTTGAGCTATTCTTCCAGTGTCTGATTATTATTACAGTCACGAGAAAGTGATAAACTCCAAAGGGTCATACACCACTTGGAGAATGTGAGGCAATCAGGTATAATTTAAGGTAGGGTTGGTAGCTTGAATTCTTTGGATTAAGAACCCTTCACTGGCATCAAGGTACTTTGTCTGGGTGAAAATCAGATAATGCTCTGGAATGGATACTTGCCCATGAGAGACTGGAAGGTTCTAAATGGAACATGAAAAGAAGTCTGGAATGCTAGAATGAGTAAAGGCCCTGAGAAAGAGCTCTTTTTTTTTTTTTTTTTTTTTGCATGTCTGCCAAAGATGCAATGGAGACAACACTAAATTTGAAACACAGGAGGACAAGAAGAATTAGAAACGAAGAGGTGTACATGGTACCAATATGGATGATGGGTTAAAATAGGACATGCCTTACTGGCAGACTGTGTTAAGCATCCTTTAAGAATAAGTTTGTAAAATAAAACATACTCCATCCATATAGAGGGTTTTGAACATCCTCAGATCCAGGTTTGACCCTGAAATCAAAACATTTAAATGCATTTTACCTGGACACATTGGAATCGTGTCCTCAAAAATGCTGGTTCTAGCTAACTCTTTTTAATTGAAAGTATGTGAAATACTGTACAGTGGTACCTTGGGATACAAACTTAATTTGTTCCAGAAGGCTGTTCGAGTGGCGATACCAAACAAATTTGTTCCCAAAAGAGCTGTATAGCCCTTTTGGCTTAGCGCTTCTTTTTGATTATAATAATAATGTTCCCAAAAGAAATAATCTAAATTAGATTAATCTGTTTCAGACCCCCAAAAATACACTTGCAAAAGCACTTACATAAATACACTTTCATAATTGCTCGAGTTTTGAGCTGTTCGTATCCCAAGGTGACACTGTGGTACTAGAAAGCACAGCACTGTACAACTGATGCAGGTCTAGCACTTTTGAAGGTCTAATTGATACTGCTAGCAGAAAAGGCACATTGTGCATATGAACTATGCATTTTATACTAGCTAACAGTTAGAATATATCAAGGAAGGTTTAGGAAAACTTAGTTTATATTTACTTGAGAATTTAGGTTGTGCAGCAAGGATAAATTTCAGGTGTGTTAAGTTTACATTACAAATGAAAATTTGTAAATTTACAATTTCTGGTGTGATAAATTTATATTACAAATGAATGAATTGTAAATTTATAGTAAATTATACACAGTTCATAAAGGGTGGTCCCGAACTTATGAATAAGTTGGGTTCCTGCTGTTTCAACTTACAAATGAGTCGTTTGTAACCCTGAACTCATTACCCCATAGAAAACGATAGTACAAAGGTTAATTGTGTGTCACATGTTTGTAAATGTAGATTGGCGTACATAAAATGATTTTCTCAATACTATTTCTTGGACCTTGTTGTAAGTGTGGATCATCGTAACTCCAGCATTTGTAAGTCAGGGCTCCCCTATGTATCATAGATAGTACCCTAAGCCTTTTATCCTAAATTACTGAAGACAGCGGCATACAGCAAGTCCTCACTTAACATCATCAACAAGTTCTTTTTAACTGTGACTTTAAACAAAATGATTTACGTATAATGAAACCAATTTTACCATAGGCTAATTGATATAAACATCAGGGGTGCAGAGTGCACCTTTAGTGTTCATTGCAACAGGGTTAAATCAAGGAATAAAAGTTTGCAAAGTGAAAATTGTAAGGAGTGCCTCCTACCACCACTCGGTTCAAAAACAAATATGCAAACCCCCACACACAGAGTAACCCTGGCTGGGAATCTCTCTTTTTCCTCATCGATGTTATAACAAAACGAGTTGAATGAAATGACTAAGTGAGGACTTACTGTATTTTAAGAATGTTCCAGGTTATAATTTCGATGATTCAATGAAATTGTACTGCCATTTAATTGCAATGTTGCCTCCTTGTTGCACGAGGTCATCATAACACCAACCATTACATCAAGTTCTCAGACTTTTACTCATTTTCATAGTACTGTACATACAAGGCATCTTTAGTGTACCACAACTTTTACCAACTAACTTTATTACCTGTACAATGCTAGAAGATTAAGCTAAAGCTGTTACAGTAAGCTAGAAAACTTGAAATTAAACTCAAGAGAGAGAATCTCGTGTTTCTTCAACCAGTTTTTTTTCCATTTATCTGCAGACTGTGTATTCTTATAAAAGTTTAATTTCAAGATTAAATTGGTTCACAAGCTATTTCTCCAGTCATGCTACATTAAGTCCCTCAGTAGCTAATTAACCCTGCTGCTACACAGACCTGCCTAGAACATCAAAAATGACAAAAATAAAGTAGCGTATATACTCGAGTGTAGGTCAAGATTTTAAAACTCGATTTGTAAGTAAAAGGGGTTGACCTGTTCACGAGTAATACTTTCGAGAAGTTGAATTCCATAAATAAGATAAGATACTTTACTTCAGTATGATACAATGTTTGTATAGAGGTGAATGACAGGTGTGCATGCAAAAAGCCCCTTAATATGTAGAGCATTTTGGGCAAACTTGGGCCTGCCACATACTGGATTTCTACTTCTTTGGTGCAATCAGGGCACAATGACACTTGGTAATCATTTTCCACCTTAAATATACAGTACAAATAAATTTGATAATATCCATTAGTTTCACTGTTGCTGGTCAACCACCGGGGAGCTCTGGCCAGACTCCTGGTAGACCTGCCCAGATTCCTGGTAGTAGACCTATACAGGCACTGTTACAACGAACTTTAATCCTCCTTACGTTAAGTTGTTTTATCTTAAGTTCACTTAGGCTAGGTTAAAGTTAATTATCCTAAATATACGTAATATACCACAAATAACCAAGAGCATAAATCCACAAAACGGTGGAAAATCCTCTTTTTTCCTCAATTTCTTGACAATACAACAAGGGATCACTGCAAAATTGTCAGACTGGCCACCATTCCCATCCTCATGACTTAACAAATGTTATTTTTCTCTTCAATTTATATTAAATGCCAATCATGATTACATTAATGAGGTTATTATGGTGTAGGAAGTGCAGAAAGTGATGGGGGGATAAATATAGTAGATTAAGCTAAGTTTGGTTAAGAAGAGGGGAGAGAGGATGTCACCTGCCTGTCCCTATATCCTCTTCTACACTCCTACCACTGATGTGTATTAGATGTGGTTACATGTGACAACCCCACCACTGATGTATACTAGCTGTGGATAACTGTGATGATCCCACCACTGCTGTGTACTAGATGTGCATAACTGTGATGATTCCACTACTGATGTGTATTAGATGTGGATAACTGTGATGATCCCACCACTGATGTGTACTAGATGTGGATAGATGTGTCGACAAATGAAACGTAAATAAATCTACAGTTGTTTACCAATCTTTAACAAACAAAAGAGTTGGATGTAAGTAGCATCTGCCTAGTATACTGCAGTAGGCTTACTGCAATACTACTGTTTTATGTGATGGTTCGGTGTGAGTATGGCCTGTTTATCAAGTGTCTGGGCTGACTAATTCTGTTTTTGTCACAAATATTGTGAAGTTTTTGCATTTTTTTAAATTTTCAGTACTTTTTCCCTAAGTTTATGCTAGAATATATCTGGCATCAGAACCATTTAGCCCCTTTTAAAGTTCCTTAAAAACTAGATACGTACATGAGAAAAATATTTGGCAAAAAGGTCCGGGGTAGACTTGTACTCACCATTGAGCTATACTCGAGTATATATGATACAGTGGACCCCCGGTTAACGATATTTTTTCAATCCAGAAGTATGTTCAGGTGCCAGTACTGACCAAATTTGTTCCCATAAGGAATATTGTGAAGTAGATTAGTCCAGTTCAGACCCCCAAACATACACGTACAAACACACTTACATAAATACACTTACATAATTGGTCGCATTCGGAGGTGATCGTTATGCGGGGGTCCACTGTATATAACTGGATAAGCTGCATGCTCATTTCCCTTCAAAAGGGGTGACAATGTTGATGAATGTAACTTGATCCAGGAAAATGGAGCTATTCTCCCCTTTTGTGGATCAAACTTGACTGCCTCCCATACCTCATGCACTGACAACTCATGCAGATTTAGCACTTCCCACAAATATAATAACATACGGTCAATTTTGCCGATGTTTATGTCCTTGTACTGTTGTGGCAAATTTTTAGGAGTTGCCCATTTTCATTAATCTTATCAGATATTTTCTAAAGACCCAGCATCCTGCTGCCCCAGTTTTTTCAAACTAATGATAGATAGTTTGCAGAAAAAGTCTATTCTAATGAACACAAATAAATTTAAGGGTAACTCAACCATTTATATTTACCAGTAGAAACTTAAAATCTTTACTGATCATGATCAAGTTTTTGACATAACTAAGTCGTACCAGAGAATAAAACTCAGCACCGAGAAAAAAAAAGTCATCAGAATCGAGACTTTCACTGCAAACTTTCTCTCTCTCTTTCTTTAACTATAACTTTCAGCAACATTTGCCAGTCAAATTGTAACATACAAATTTTCAATGTATATGGCAGTGGAACTAAATAATGTAAACATGTATGGTATTCCCATTAACGATTGATAATGCTGTCAATGTGATAATACTGTACTAATGTAATATAACTGTATATACAGTAAACCCTCTGTATAATGGACTAATAAACAAGATTCTCTGAGTGTTCGTTAAATCAAAATAACATTAAAAATAGCAAAAGAGAAAAAGAAAAGTGTCGTAAAGTACTCTAGTGTACAGTGAACACAATAGTGTACATCTAACATAGTAGTATATACATAATTTACAGATACTGTGATAAACACTGAAAATAAAGGAACTAAGTAAAATTTATTCTGTGGATTTTGTCAATAAATTTCTCTTATACTGAGGGTTTTAATGTATGTATGTATATATGTATGCGAGTGTGTGTGTGTATATAATTATATATATAATATATAAAACACACACACACACACACACACACACAGGTTTAAATCTTGTTTTATAATAGTTACAATTTACTGAAGTGTTAAACGAAAAACAAAGAGGAAACTTAAACGAGGATGCTATGTTTATGTTTTATGGCGGAACAGAAAACAAATCAATTACAATATTTTTTTAATGACTTACATTACTAAATAAAATGATGCTTTCCCAGAGTATTATTTTTAAGAAATAAAGTTCAAGACAGTCTGAATTTTTGTGTAAAACTTAAGATATTGTAATTAAAGTTCTGTATAATATGCAATATTAGAAGAAAAAGTTTGAAAAAATATACATTTAATAATTTCCTTTGTATGGCTATTATTGACACTGTAGTGAAGGTGTAAGTTATTTTAATTTTTACCATGCTTATTTAACTAATAATCTTTATTTCTATATTGAGCTTTATGACCCTTGTGGGTTTAGCACTTAGTTTTAAGTGCCTATTTTGCAGTTGCACTCAATAAACAAGCACAAAAAACAATGGATTATTACGAAATGTTTTGGATGGATGCGCAGAGCGATGCTCACTCAACAAGAAACAAAGGCAGACCGAGTCACGAAAGCATGAGATGCTTTGTGTGGGCGCTCAATTCCAGGAAATGAGTGGCAGAGTCATGCGGGCAGGCAGATGAGTTTGGTACAGACCATTTTCAACTGTACAAAAAACCAAGTGGATGTATGAAAACTGGGACAAAATTTCTACGAAAAAAGTCGTCAAAAACTGAATCGCACGAAAACTAGGGCATACGATAACTGAGGTTTGACTAATTTATTTCTTTAAGTACATGATACAACTTATACAGACCATAGCAGACATCAATGACATACTATATAGAAAGTCCCAGGTTATGCAGAGCATTTCGGGCAAATCAGGTTAATTTGGTCTCCCAGGATGCCACCCATGCCACTCGACTAATACCCAAGTTCACTGATGAGTGAACATGGAGAGCAGGTGTCTTAAGGAAACATGTCCTAATGTTTCCACTTGTACCAGGAATCAAACCACGGACCTCAGTGAGTGAGTCGAGTGCACTACCAACCTAATTACAGGACACCTCAGAATTTATACTGCGGGTCATCAATTATCCGGGAATCCAGCTGTTTGGAGGTTTAACATTATCCAGCCATGATGTTCGATCTGCCACTTCAATGGATAACTAATGGATCCAAGAATTATCCAGGGAGGAAGCAGAAGCAATATTCTCACAAATTCACAGTTTTAAATATCAAGGAAATTTTTATGCATATAATAATTTAATGAGTAATAACAATCAGTAATAAAAATTTAATGAGGAATATAAAACCTTTCAGTGGCCCAGGCCCCTCAAGGAAGGTTCCTTGATGTTGGTGAGGGGCTCTTGATTTAGGGAATTGGATCTGTGCTCCAGCTCCCCGAATTAAGCCTGAATGCCTTCCACATCCCCCCCAGGCGCTGTATAATCCTCCGGGTTTAGCGCTTCCCCCTTGATTATAATAATCAGTGGCCCAGGGGAAGGGGGGGGGGTCATAACCCCCAAGCACTTCATAAATCCCTCCCTGAAATCTAATGCTAAAAATGAATATGTGATTAAAAAAGGGACTATGAAAAGGGTGATGTGATAACTTGAAGTATACCTGGAGGGCATTCCAGGGGACAATGCCCCCTGCAGACCAGTCCTTGACCAAGTCTCATGGTGGATCAAGGCCTGATCAACAAGGCTGTTACTGCTGTCCTCGCATAATCCAATGTATGAACCACAGCCCGGCTAATCAGGTAATTAAAACCCAGCACATCCTCCCTATTCCCATACCCAGGGGGGCCTGGATAACTGACAATCTGCTATACAGGTGCTCTTCAACTTATGATGGTTTGAATTACAATATGTCAACTTTACGATGATGCATCATCGTAAAGTCGATAAGATAAATGCCCAGCATGAAGGCAGCAAGTCTGTAACTTGTATTCATTTTTTAATTTTCACTACTAGTATTTAATTACAGTAATTATTTGTTTTCTCCATGGGGAAGTGGAACAGAATTCTTCCTCCGTAAGCCATGCATGTTGTAAGAGGCGACTAAAATGCCGGGAGCAAGGGGCTAGTAACCCCTTCTCCTGTATAAATTACTAAATTTAAAAGAGAAACTTTCGTTTTTCTTTTTGGGCCACCCCGCCTTGGTGGGATACGGCCGGTGTGTTGAAAGAAAGAATTATTTGTTTACCTATTAAGTGATGGTAGTTATTTATTTATTTATTTAGCATACCATTCATATTTGACCTAAGATATTTTCAACTTACAATGGGTTTGTCGGAGCATAACCAGTTAACCAATTTTACAGAAAAAGTTGAAATATTAAGCCTTCACAGCAGTCTTCTTCAGTCAAATACAGACAGAGGTGACTTTATTACTAGAGACAGAAGAGAAAGTGGAGAGGTAATTTTGAGGTGTTCAGTCCCTCAGCCTTGACAGAAGTGATACTTGTGTGTCCTATCCATCAACTCGGTGATATAGCATACCACACGATTCGTCAGAATAATTCTAAGATAATGGACTTACTCACAATAACACATGAGGGATGGTAAGGAGACAAGAAGCAAATACAGTGGACCCCCGGCTTACGATATTATTTCATTCCAGAAGAATGTTCAGGTGCCATTACTGAACGAATTTGTTCCCAAAAGGAATATTGTGAATTAGATTAGTCCATTTCAGACCCCCAAACATACACGTACAAACGCACTTACATAAATACACTTACATAATTGGTCGCATTGGGAGCTGATCGTAAACCGGGGGTCCACTGTACAGGAGGGCCCTACTTTACAACGCTTTGCTTTATGGTGTTTTGCTAATGCAGTGGTTTTCAATTATACACATTCTTCATTTATTCAGACTTTCTACAATGAACATATTCACCACTCACTATAAACTAAGAATGAAAATATTTTTAGGCAAGTACAACCTCTCCTCACTTAACGACGGAGTTTCATTCCTAAGACCACGTTGGTAAACGAATTCGTCACTAAGCAAGGAACATACTATAATGGTAGTGGGTTTGTGTCAACCATCTTTGTTATTGTTTTAATGTCACCTTTGCACGATTTATAAAATTTTTAGTATATTTTTAAATGTTCATGCAGTAGTGTACTGTATACTGTAATAAACAGAATAGAGACAATCAGCACTAATATACATTATTTAAGTATGTATACTGGTCAGAGAGCCCATTGTAAGTCCGAGTTGTCAGTAAAGTGAGGAGAGGCTGTAAGGTGCATACTGTATAAGCATTTTTTAGGCTCAGCTCACTTAATATATGACAGTGTAAACATATAATCAGGCTTTTATATGCATATGAAAGTGATAAAGGACTGATTCACTTTACAGGGATTTTCACTTTACAGCGGTAGCCCGGAACCTAACCTGCTGTATAAGTGGAGCCTGCTTGTATATGGAATCTTTATTGACAACATTTCACCCATACAGTGGAGCCCCTGAATGGGTGAATCATCGACAAAGATTTCATATAACTGCCTTTGTACCTTCTTACCAGTGTGTGTATATACCTCCCACCATTACATACCCATATGAAGGAACCAGTGTTTCATAAGGTATTGGTATTGGTGGCCCGTGGCCTGGTAGGCAACGTTCACCTCACACAGAGTCCATGGTTCGATCCCCAGCAAAGGTGGAAACACTGTGTTTTCTTACACCTGTTGTCCTGCTCACCTAACAAGCAAGTAGGTACCTGGGTGTTAGCCGACTGGTGTGGGTCACATCCTAGGGGACAAGATTTAAGGACCCAAGTGGAAATAAGAGTCCCTCAATGACACAATGACTTTCTCAGGTTATCCTGGCTGGATAACCCTCTGGGGTTAAAAATCCCAATAAAATCCTATCTTAAGGCCCCAGAGTATGGACCAAAACACAGAGGACTTCAGACCAAAATTGTGTCCTTTATTACGTGCCATGAAAAAAAAAGTCAATTTTTTAATTTGTGTAAATTTAGAAATTTTCTATACAACTTAGTATTTAGTAAATAATGACAGTAAAAAATGTATCTCTTAACATATTAAATTTATACAGTGGACCCCTGCATAACGATTACCTCCGAATGCGACCAATTATGTAAGTGTATTTATGTAAGTGCGTTTGTACGTGTATGTTTGGGGGTCTGAAATGGACTAATCTACTTCACAATATTTCTTATGGGAACAAATTCGGTCAGTACTGGCACCTGAACATACTTCTGGAGTGAAAAAATATCGTTAACCGGGGGTCCACTGTATATTGATTTTTTTTTAAGTTAATCTGCCAAAGTGGCTAGTTATTTTTTTTTATACACTTGAATTTACAGGCTGAGAGCTGTTAACCTAACCATAACTCATATCAAAGCCCAGTCTAAGCATCCTGTAAAACTATCTAAACTCAAACCATACCACAGGTGGGGCTTGAACTCACGGTCAGAGAGTCGTATCTAAACTCCCTGTAAAACTCTTACCTATGGTATACTAACACCCATGGATCACCACCCACAACAGTCAATTAACACCTGGGTACCTACTTACTGTTATATGAACAGGAGCAACAGGAGTAAGGGAAATATGTCCAACATTTCCACCCATGCTGGGAATTGACCCATGGTACACCCCATGCTCATCCTGCCAGCAGAAGTGCAAGAAACAGGATTACAGAGATCACAATGGGTCTTTATCTTGCCCCACTGTGATGGATATGTGGGCTAGTGAGCCTGGTCAGGCTAGCACCAGACAAGCCTGGCCCAGGATCAGGCTGTTAAAATAGGGAAACTTTTAAAATTATATCAAAGGTATATTATTACAGTACAAGAATTACAGTCATTACTACTAAATAAAGTACCTGGTATATTTTCTGATATATGCATTCCTACTGAAACTGCATTCAGTATAATAATATTTTTTTTTATTATTTTTTTTTTATTATCACACTGGCCGATTCCCACCAAGGCAGGGTGGCCCGAAAAAGAAAAACTTTCACCATTATTCACTCCATCACTGTCTTGCCAGAAGGGTGCTTTACACTACAGTTTTTAAACTGCAACATTAACACCCCTCCTTCAGGAATAATAATAATAATAATAATAATAATAATAATAATAATAATAAAGCATTAGACATGTAAAGACAGCTCTACACAGAGCCTAAATTGCCTCAAAAAAATTTATGTACGACATATTTTTACATAAGCAATAATGTTGAAGGATAAGCTATGGCAGGAAAAGAGGGACTATAAATGTATTAATTCAAGGATTATGTGGAGTAAAATAAAGATTGGATGTGAAAAGTGGGTTATAATAAGCATGTATGCACCTGGAGAAGAGAGAAGTGTAGAGGAGAGAGAGAGATTTTGGGAAATGTTGAGTGAATGCATGGGGAGTTTTGAATCAAGTGTGAGAGTAATGGTGGTTGGGGATTTCAATGCTAGTAGGTAAAAATGTTATGGAGGGAGTAGTAGGTAAATTTGGGGTGCCAGGGGTAAATGTAAATGGGGAGCCTTTAATTGAGCTATGTGTAGAAAGAGATTTGGTAATAAGTAATACATATTTTATGAAAAAGAGGATAAATAAATATACAAGGTATGATGTAGCACATAATGAAAGTAGTTTATTAGATTATGTATTGGTGGATAAAAGGTTGATGGGTAGGCTCCAGGATGTACATGTTTATAGAGGGGCAACTGATATATCGGATCATTATTTAGTTGTAGCTACAGTTAGAGTAAGAGGTAGATGGGAAAAGAGGAAGGTGGCAACAACAAGTAAGAGGGAGGTGAAAGTGTATAAACTAAGGGAGGAGGAAGTTCGGGTGAGATATAACGACTATTGGCAGAAAGGTGGGCTAGTGCAAAGATGAGTAGTGGGGGGGTTGAAGAGGGTTGGAATAGTTTTAAAAATGTAGTATAGAATGTGGGGCAGAAGTTTGTGGTTATAGGAGGGTGGGGGCAGGAGGAAAGAGGAGTGATTGGTGGAATGATGAAGAAAGGGTGTGATAAAAGAGAAAAAGGTACCTTATGAGAGGTTTTTTACAAAGCAGAAGTGTTATAAGAAGAGCAGAGTATATCGAGAGTAAAAGAAAGGTAAAGAGAGTGGTGAGAGTGCAAAAGGAGAGCAGATGATAAAAGTGGGAGAGGCACTGTCAAGAAATTTTAATGAGAATAAGAAAAATTTTTGGAGTGAGTTAAACAAGTTAAGAAAGCCTAGGGAAAGTATGGATTTGTCAGTTAAAAACAGAGTAGGGGAGTTAGTAGATGGGGAGATCGAGGTATTAGGTAGATGGCGAGAATATTTTGAGGAACTTTTAAATGTTAAGGAAGAAAGAGAGGCAGTAATTTCATGCACTGGTCAGGGAGGTATACCATCTTTTAGGAGTGAAGAAGAGCAGAATGTAAGTGTGGGGGAGGTACGTGAGGCATTACGTAGAATGAAAGGGGGTAAAGCAGCTGGAACTGATGGGATCATGACAGAAATGTTAAAAGCAGGGGGGGATATAGTGTTGGAGTGGTTGGTACTTTTGTTTAATAAATGTATGAAAGAGGGGAAGGTACCTAGGGATTGGCAGAGAGCATGTATAGTCCCTTTATATAAAGGGAAAGGGGACAAAAGAGACTGTAAAAATTATAGAGGAATAAGTTTACTGGGTATACCAGGAAAAGTGTACGGTAGGGTTATAATTGAAAGAATTAGAGGTAAGAGAGAATGTAGGATTGTGGATGAGCAAGGTTTCAGAGTGGGTAGGGGATGTGTAGATCAAGTGTTTACATTGAAGCATATATGTAAACAGTATTTAGATAAAGGTAGGGAAGTTTTATTGCATTTATGGATTTAGAAAAGGCATATGATAGAGTGGATAGAGGAGCAATGTGGCAGATGTTGCAAGTATATGGAATAGGTGGTAAGTTATTAAATGCTGTAAAGAGTTTTTATGAGGATAGTGAGGCTCAGGTTAGGGTGTGTAGAAGAGAGGGAGACTACTTCCCAGTAAAAGTAGGTCTTAGACAGGGATGTGTAATGTCACCATGGTTGTTTAATATATTTATAGATGGGGTTGTAAAGGAAGTAAATGCTAGGGTGTTCGGGAGAGGGGTGGGATTAAATTTTGGGGAATCAAATTCAAAATGGGAATTGACACAGTTACTTTTTGCTGATGATACTGTGCTTATGGGAGATTCTAAATAAAAATTGCAAAGGTTAGTGGATGAGTTTGGGAATGTGTGTAAGGTAGAAAGTTGAAAGTGAACATAGAAAAGAGTAAGGTAATGAGGGTATCAAATGATTTAGATAAAGAAAAATTGGATATCAAATTGGGGAGGAGGAGTATGGAAGAAGTGAATGTTTTCTGATAGTTGGGAGTTGACGTGTCGGCGGATGGATTTATGAAGGATGAGGTTAATCATAGAATTGATGAGGGAAAAAAGGTGAGTGGTGCATTGAGGTATATGTGGAGTCAAAAAATGTTATCTATGGAGGCAAAGAAGGGAATGTATGAAAGTATAGTAGTACCAACACTCTTATATGGATGTGAAGCTTGGGTGGTAAATGCAGCAGCGAGGAGACGGTTGGAGGCAGTGGAGATGTCCTGTTTAAGGGCAATGTGTGGTGTAAATATTATGCAGAAAATTCGGAGTGTGGAAATTAGGAAAAGGTGTGGAGTTAATAAAAGTATTAGTCAGAGGGCAGAAGAGGGGTTGTTGAGGTGGTTTGGTCATTTAGAGAGAATGGATCAAAGTAGAATGACATGGAAAGCATATAAATCTATAGGGGAAGGAAGGAGGGTAGGGTCGTCCTCGAAAGGGTTGGAGAGAGAGGGTAAAGGAGGTTTTGTGGGCAAGGGGCTTGGACTTCCAGCAAGTGTGCGTGAGCGTGTTAGATCAGAGTGAATGGAGACGAATGGTACTTGGGACCTGACGATCTGTTGGAGTGTGAGCAGGGTAATATTTAGTGAAGGGATTCAGGGAAACCGGTTATTTTCATATAGTCGGACTTGAGTCCTGGAAATGGGAAGTACAATGCCTGCACTTTAAAGGAGGGGTTTGGGATATCGGCAGTTTGGAGGGATATGTTGTGTATCTTTATATGTGTATGCTTCTAGACTGTTGTATTCTGAGCACCTCTGCAAAAGCAGTGATAGTGTGTGAGTGTGGTGAAAGTGTTGAATGATGATGAAAGTATTTTCTTTTTGGGGATTTTCTTTCTTTTTTGGGTCACCCTGCCTCGGTGGGAGATGGCCGACTTGTTGAAAAAAAAAAAAAAAAAAAAAATTTTTACACTGCCATACACACCAAATGCTAAAATATATCTTACAAAAGCCAATCATTACACCTGTAAATAGTGAAGTTTTGTTCGTCAGGAAAGTGTGTCTTCTAACGTGGTTTTGTCGGGCAATGAAATGTTAGGTAGTCAAGTGTACACTGGAGTACAAGGTTTTATACCCCATTAAAAAAAAAATGTATCACAAGGTAATGTACTCACATGATGCAATTTCACATTTCCTGGCACCTCTGTACAATAGTACAGTGGACCCCCGGATAACGATCAGCTCCCAACTCGACCAATTATGCAAGTTTATTTTTGTAAGTGCTTTTGTAGGTGTATTTTTAGGGGTCTGAAATGGACTAATCTAATTCACAATATTTCTTATGGGAACAAATTCGGTCTATAACGGCACCCAAACAGACTTCTGGATTGAAATAATATGTTATGCGGGGGTCCACTGTACATCTGTACATTCACTACTGAGTTAGTTTTAAACAGTGTACAGTGGTACCTTTCATACCAACAGCTCAAAACTCAAACAATTATGGAAGTGTATTTATGTAAGTGCTTTTGTAAGTGCATTTTTGGGGGTCTGAAACAAAATAATCTAATTTACATTATTCCTTATGGGAACAAATTCGTTTGGTATCGGCACTCGAACAGCCTTCTGGGACAAATTAAGGTCGTATCCCAAGGTAATTAGACTTACACTTTCAGATTTTTTTTTTATCAATTCTTTCTCCTAATAGTCACACCATCCCAGGGAGATTCCAGGTAGACATCTTCAAACTTTACCACAGTTTACCTTAGGTCTTCAAACTTTATCATAGTTTACCCTAACTCTTCAAACTTTACAACAGTTTACTCTAGAATCTTAGAGCTTCAACCTTTATCTCTTTACCCACCCTTCATTCATAGCCATTTCTGTCTTAACCCTTTCACTGTCAGTCACGTAGATTCATGTCATTGATGCTGAGGTCCCTCACTTTGATCTCTGTTTTTTGCTTGGCTCCTTCAGATGTATGGCAATACACAAATAACCCACACATAAAAGAGAGAAGCTTACGACGACGTTTCGGTCCGACTTGGACCATTGACAAAGCCACACTAACCAGAAGTGGAGCAGGACGGCTATACATAGGCAGGAAGAGGTGGTGGTAGTAGTAGTAAGTTGTACTACTACTACTACTACCACCACCTCTTCCTGCCTATATATAGCCGCCCTGCTCCTCTTCCGGTTAGTGTGGCTTTGTCAATGGTCCAAGTCGGACCGTAACGTTGTCGTAAGCTTCTCTCTTTTATGTGCGGGTTATTTGTGTATTGTTCCAGTCACGGTATTGTGCCTTTTTTTGTTATTTGTTATGTATGGCAAATTTTGGCCTAGATACAAAAAGTGGGTCTGTGTGGTGAGTGGGCACAGTATAAAAAAAATCCTGCCCCATGCAGTGCATGATGGGAAAAACAAAACTCTGACTTGGTTTTTATGGTTTCTTGGCATCATTTGATAGAATGGAGAGATGGTTTTTGACGTACACACCATGAAAAAAATAAAATAATCATATGTTTAGTACTGTAAATTATGATTATGCATTAAAAACAAAAGTATTTATTCCCTAAAAAAGAATTAATCAACTTTAATGAAACTACCTCAGTGCACATCTATAGAAAAAAAATCAGGATATTATAGTTAACTATGAAATGTAAATATTCGATATCCAGGATGTGGATAATGCTATCTAAGTTATGTATAATGGACAACATGATTACAACTCACAAAGCTAATCATTTATTCAACATTGCCTATTTAGATGGCAATAAAATAATATCACTCACTCTTGGTAAAGGTTCACTATGTACAGATGAGAGACAGGGCCAGGAGCCAGGACTCAACCTCCACAACCACATCATCTATGCTTGCTGTTCTCCCTGTTGTACCTGCTGGTCTGGCTGACCCTCCTCCTCACCAACCTCTATGTTGACATTGATCTCTAGTCGCAAGTGGATATTGGTGACCATGAATCCGATGGCAATTAAGAGGGGCAGACGCACTCTTGATGCCCAGGCCAGCTTGAAGAGGAAAGCGAGAGTAGGTGGCAAGCCTCGCGACCCACCGACTAACACTGTTGTGAGATCTCGCAGCATTTTCCTCGTGAATTTGTTCTGAAAACCACAAGGATCATTGTAATGCATTTTCCACACATTTATTATCCAAATTTTGACATTTAACCCTAATTCAGAGTTTCATTTCGATATCTCAAGGAATACTGCTGCTGTAATTTGAAATGATCCTACTACACTACACTGATAAACTAGCAACTTTGATAGCAGTAGAGAATTTCTCCTTAAAATGCCTTGCATACAACCTCTCTTCGTGAATTCATCGCTCAGTGAGGAGCATACTATGATCATAGTGGGTTTGTGTCAACCATCTTTGATATTGTTTTAATGCCACCTTTGCACCAATTATAACATTACTGGTATATTTTTAAATGTTTATAGTGTACTGTATAGTGTAATAAAAAGAATAGAGGAAATCAGCTCTAATATACATTATTTAGGTATGTATACTGGTCAGAGCTCATCATAAGTTTAAGTCATCAGTAAACGAGTACATCACCAAGTGAGGAGAGGCTGTATAGAGTATGCACATAATTAACTATTTCACCTTCAAAATTCTATACAGTAAACCCTCGATTTAATGCGGGGTCTTACCCATTTTACGATTGCAGACCCCCAATGGATTGCCCAATATGCTTCCATACCCCCTTCACCAGACTGTTGAAATCATCACCAGCCTTATTAGGTATCAGTATGACTTCAAAAGATGTCAATAGCTTGGTTTTACTTTACATATGGATAGCTAGCAACAAAACAGGCGAAAGTTTATTCTAAGCTAACAACATTTTCTTTAAACTCTTCAGAGATAGAATCCCATACCCCCATTATTTTGGTTTCCATACCCCCGGTTAAGAACCCTTGATGTAACGGATCCCTATGTAACAGATTTTGGAAATGTGGAAACAAACTAGATCGAGGTCAATCTACTCTGAAACGACAAAGTCTGCTGGTTACAGAACTATCCAGTTCTAGTCATTATTACAGCAAAAAATTATTTCTCTGTCCACCATAATTCCCATTACTAGGCACCTGCACTTCCCTATTGGTTCATTATGTCAACAGTTTATTGTATTCGGATACAGAATTTTTTTAAATCGCACAAAAGTTATGGTATTCTGTCGAATGATTTACTGCTGAAAGTAATGCTTGCTGAAACTAGACACACTGAGACAGCAAGCACCCAACTTGTGTGTAAATTATGCAAAAGTAACAGCAGTAGTAGTTGTGACAATTATAAGGTACTTGACCAGATGCTTGTGGCTCAGTTGACAGATGAAGAATGAGACACTTGTGCGGCATTTGTAAATCTTTATTGAAGAAATGTTTTGCCACACAGTGGCTTCATCAGTCCAATAGAGAGAGGAACAGTAGAAAAAGAGGAGGAGTTTCATGTAATCAGTCCCTCAGCCTCTTCTCTGTATTGGACTGATGAAGCCAATGTGGCATATGTTTCCTCAATAAATAACAAAAAAAAGGCACAATACTGTGACTGGAACGATACACAAATAGCCCGCACATAAAAGAGAGAAGCTTATGACGACGTTTCGGTCCGACTTGGACCATTTACAAAGTCACACGTGACTTTGTAAATGGTCCAAGTCGGACCGAAACATCGTCGTAAGCTTCTCTCTTTTATGTGCGGGTTATTTGTGTATGTTTCCTCAATTAAGATTCCAAAATGTTGCCAAAGTGTCTCATTCTACATCTTGTCAGTTTTCTAAGTCATTTATCACATCAGTTGGCAGTGTGCTCAGCTCAAACTGACGGGTCCAGAGATCGATCCAGGCATGGGTGAAGCATCAGTCGCACTACTTCACACCTGGTCACCTAGCAACAGACAATGACAAAGATGTATTTCAGCATGACACAACGTTTGTACGAAGATGGATGATATTATAATAACAATAATAATAATAATAATAATTTTTATTTCTATATGTACATGTGCAAGGTATACAGACCATAGCTGACATCAATGACATATTACTACATAAAAAGCTGCTCGTTTTACTGAGCATTTCCCGCAAATTAGGTAAATTTTGTCCCCAGAATGTGATCCACACCAGTCGACTAACATGCAGGTACCTATTTTACTGAGGTGAATGTGGACAGCAGGTGTCTTAAGAAACCACATCCTAATGTTTCCACCTGTACCGGGGATCAAACCACAGACCCCAGTGCGTGAGCAGAGTGCACTAGCAATCGAGCTAGTGCACTCTGCACTAGCTCAATTATGGGTCACATCCTGGGGAGAAAAAAAAGATTAAAAGGACCCCCATGGATACGACAGACAGTCCCCCAATGATGCAGTGATATTTTTGGGTTATCCTGGGTGGCTAACTCTCCGGATTTGAAATTTTTTCTCAAGAATTTTCATACAAACTGCATACATAAAGAGAAGAAATAGATTACCCACCTACAGGACATGAGCGCTACACACTCTTGCGTATGTAGCACAATTGCCTTGTTTATGCAGTACAATTGTCTTGTCTATGTATGAATGGGGTCTTCTGTAACTTGTATGAGTTATGACAGCCACATCCTAGAAATAAACCAGAACAGTTTTATAATTATTATTATTACAATCAAGGGGGAAGCACTAAACCCGGAGGATTATACAGCAACAGTTTTATAAACCATACTTGATTAAACTGTTTTGTTATAATCAAACTGCTAAACTCACCAGGGTCATACAATGCTGGTTATAAACTAACTGTTTTACAAATCAAAATTGTTTTTATATGAAAAATAATGGTTTAATAAAACAAAATTTTCCTAATCTGATCCACCAGGAGGCCTGGTCTCAGACCAGGCCGCGGGGGCGTTGACCCCCGGAACTCTCTCCAGGTAAACTCCAGGTAAACCATAATTGTTTTACTTATGTTTTATTTTTACTTTTTATTTACCCTGTATGAGCTGCAAAACCCATATGGGTTTAGTGCTGGTTTATTATATTGTAATATCTTTTCAATTCAATAGCACATTTCATTCATGGGGAAGTGCTAAACCCACAGGGGTTACATGACTTTCAGAATGAACAGTTAATCAGGTTTCATCCAAGGAATGGGAGGATAGCTCCCATTCCTTGGATCACGAGATCTTCCCATACCCATCCTGTGGGCATCAAGGCATCCCATACCCATCCTGTGGGCATCAAGGCACCCTATAACCATCCTGTGGGCATCAAGGCATCCCATACCCATCCTGTGGGCATCAAGGCACCCTATAACCATCCTGTGGGCATCAAGGCACCCTATAACCATCCTGTGGGCATCAAGGCACCCTATAACCATCCTGTGGGCATCAAGGCATCCCATACCCATCCTGTGGGCATCAAGGCACCCTATACCATCCTGTGGCATCAAGGCACCTATAACCATCCTGTGGGCATCAAGGCACCCTATAACCATCCTGTGGGCATCAAGGCATCCCATACCCATCCTGTGGGCATCAAGGCACCCTATAACCATCCTGTGGGCATCAAGGCATCTCATACCCATCTTGTGGGCATCAAGGCACCTGGAAAATCCTAGAGGGACTAGTACCGAACTTGCACACGAAAATCACTCACTACGAAAGCAAAAGACTTGGCAGACGATGCAACATCCCCCCAATGAAAAGCAGGGGTGTCACTAGCACGTTAAGAGACCATACAATAAGTGTCAGGGGCCCGAGACTGTTCAACTGCCTCCCAGCATACATAAGGGGGATTACCAACAGACCCCTGGCAGTCTTCAAGCAGGCACTGGACAAGCACCTAAAGTCAGTTCCTGATCAGCCGGGCTGTGGCTCGTACGTTGGTTTGTGTGCAGCCAGCAGCAACAGCCTGGTTGATCAGGCTCTGATCCACCAGGAGGCCTGGTCACAGACCGGGCCGCGGGGGAGTTGACCCCCGGAACTCTCTCCAGGTAAACTCATACCCATCCTGTGGGCATCAAGGCATCCCATACCCATCCTGTGGGCATCAAGGCATCACATACTCATCCTGTGGGCATCAAGGCATCCCATACTCATCCTGTGGGCATCAAGGCATCCCATACTCATCCTGTGGGCATCAAGGCATCCCATACCCAACCTGTGGGCATCAAGGCATCCCATACTCATCCTGTGGGCATCAAGGCATCCCATACTCATCCTGTGCATCAAGGCATCCCATACCCATCCTGTGGGCATCAAGGCATCCCATACCCAGCCTGTGGGCATCAAGGCATCCCATACTCATCATGTGGGCATCAAGGCATCTCATACCCATCCTGTGAGCATCAAGGCATCCCATACCCATCCTGTGGGCATCAAGGTACCCATAACCATCATGTGGGCATCAAGGTACCCATAACCATCATGTGGGCATCAAGGTACCCATAACCATGTGGGCATCAAGGTACCCATAACCATCATGTGGGTATCAAGGTACCCATAACCATCATGTGGGCATCAAGGTACCCATAACCATCATGTGGGCATCAAGTACCCATAACCATCATGTGGGCATCAAGGTACCCATAACCATCATGTGGGCATCAAGGTACCCATAACCATCATGTGGGCATCAAGGTACCGCCCTTAAAGATCTGGGTAAGGGGTATCAAATCACCGGGTTACTCTGGGTTAATAATACCAATTCTAACTACAACCCACAAGCTTTGCTGGGTTATCCTGGCTTAAACATTCATACTTTCCCGCCATTATATGGCTATAATAAGGATGTACTTGATGTAAATATGGAGCACACCTAAACTGATGTTATTGTTGGGTTATAAGGGTAAGAACTATCAGAGGACTGCACCAACTGTACCGGAGATTTCGGGTAAACGAAACCGGCTTCGGAATCATATCGATACCGACCATTCGGTATTCTCACGGGGGAGGGGGGGGGCGGGTTGAATGATAGCTCTAGGCATTTCGTGCTGCAATCAACATATTATTAGGAGCTTGGAATCAAATGAGTAGGATGTCTAGGTAGATCCGTTCAAGGGAACGACTCCAGTTCCTGATGATGTGACTGCAACTATGAAAGCACTAGAGCATCTTCAACTCCCCCCGTTTTGTCTGTTTTGAATCTTGTGTCGCGTTGTTTTCGGATTACTGGATAATACATTGCGCAAATTAGCATGGAAATACCGAAAGATTTGGAAAACGACCACTTACTATCATTCAGAACTAAGAGTTGTTTTACCCAAGAGTAGCGTCTTCAGTCGTAATGAAGACACTCGTGGTGAACGTGTTCCTCTTATAAATTTGGTTGCAGGGGTAAAGTTCTAACTCTTGGTCCCCAATCTACCCTGGCTACTACGGGGCTCACTCTCCGCATAGCTTCCACTGCAGAACTGTACGTACCTTTGTCATAAGGCTGTCCCCACCATAGGTCGTAAACGTACACACCATTTGTGGCCATGAATCCTCACCATGCCCAGCCCACATTATTAGTTATGAAATCAAGGGGAAGCGCTAAACCCGGAGGATTATACAGCACCCCAGCCACAGGGCTGTAACTTTACATCACTTGTACCAACACTCCTCGGGAGCCACTGCCAGGTCACGACATGGAGAATCCCCTCAAGGGAGGTTCCTTGACGCTGGCGAGGGGTTCTTTATCTAGGGAATTGGATCTGTGCTCCGGTTCCCTGAACTGAGCCGGAATACTTTCCATCCCCCCACATGCGCTGAAATAAATCCTGTGGGTTTAGCGCTCCCCATGATTATAATAATTATGATAACCACATGGAGAAGATCTGGGCCAGGACCAGTCCTGACAAACTTACATGAATAATAATAATATCTACTTCTACAAGTACATGTACAAGGTATACAGACCATAGCTGACATCAATGACATACTACTATATAGAAAGCCACTCGTTATGCTGAGCATTTCCTGCAAATTAGATCAGTTTTATGCCAGGATGCGACCCACACCCGTCGACTAACACCCAGGTACGCATTTTACACACGGAACATAGACAACCGATGTAAAGAAACACGCCCAATGTTTCTACCCTTGCCAGGAATTGAACATAAACATCTGGCTTGAGAACCCTATCTTACATCTCTATGCTGAAGAACTCTTGATTTGTGAAACCGAGGTATCCTCGTTCCATTTGTGACTTGGCAGTGGTCCAGGGACTCACCGAAATTGGTCTAAAGACTCTCTCTAACGTGCCTGATCCTGGTATTATTACTTTTGTTTCCTCCTTTGAATTAAACCCTTGTTTCTTGAATCTATACCTATGGCTTCAAATTTCCCAGGAAGCTGGCAACATGCATCCTTTGCCGGAAACAGATCCGAGGACCATAAGGACCTTCCACATACATTGTGCTACCATCAGCAAACTGTGGTGTTTAAATTATCTCTATTTTGTGTGTCCAGTAATCTACTATTTTTAGTTTAATATGTTATATTATGCACCCATACCCATCCTGGTGGGCTAGTCAAAAGATTAACAGAGTACAGAAATTGGTCCTGGGACTGGACTCCAAAGTTTTGATAGCTGAGCAAGTTACAGAGGTAAGGGAACTCACAATTTACAAAGGTAAGAACTCACAACTACATAGGAAAACTGATAAGATAAGATAAGATTTCGTTCGGATTTATAACCCCGGAGGGTTAGCCAACCCATGATAACAAAAAAAGTCAGTGCGTTCATCGAGACTGTCTAACTTAATTTCCATGGGTCCTTAATCTTGTCCCCCAGGGATGCGACCCACACCAGTCCGACACACCCAGGTACCTAAATTGTGCTGCTAGGTGAACAGGACAATAGGTGAAGGAAACGTGTCGGAATTTCACCCCGCCAGGAATGCGAACCCCGAGCCCTCCGTGTTGCACGGGATCTTTACCACCAGACCATCACCGAGTGCAGGAGTTCCATATCATGGGCAGTATGTGACAGGAAATGTGACAAATCGTATCTCGAAACTAAAAGAACAAAAAGAGAGAATACCGTTGAGTGTAACAATACACGATAACCCCACTTAGCCGGAGAAGCTTAGACGGCCTTTCCGTTTCGACTTAGACCCTAAACGATTGTAACATAAATTATGCTTTTAAACTGAGGTCATCTGAGTAACATCCGAATCAAACACCAAAAGGAAACAAGGGTTCATGTAGATAAACAGTTCAGAGTACCGACAATTGATAACATACATGTGTGCACCACTTGGGTATCTTTACTGAGAAACGTTTCGCGCCACTCAGTGCTTCAATTCAGTCCATACAAGGAGAATGGTGAAGAACAGGAAAGTTTTAGGTTAATCAGTCCCTTCAGCCTGGAGGTCAATTGAATCAGTCCATAATCTAGAAAAGCATACATATAATGCGAAAAGGGCTTTATATACTCAGACAAGTGAAGTGCAGCAGTCGTAGGTGTATTTAACACTTAATGCTGTATTCTTTTCAGAACTGTTGAACTGATACATCGACTCGAGACCTGTGGAACTGATTACCTCAACTCCTCCTTTTCTCGCAAATACCTGAGTTTACCTGGAGAGAGTTTCGTGGGGTCAACGCCCCCGCGGCCCCCCGTCTGTGACCAGGCCTCCTGGT